GACTCTCCCTGTGGCTGCGGCCCCGGGCTCCTGGGGAGGAGATGGGAGGCACCCCCAGGTGCCATCACCTGTTGGTCTGGCTCGGGCTGCTCTCCTCTCCTCTCTGTGGCCTCCTGCCCGTGTCCCCGGCCCCAGGGGACAAACAGAGGTGCCTGATAAGTGCCCGCTTCCTCACTTCCAGCCGCTCCTGGTGAAGGGAGGAATCTGGCTTCCTCCCAGCCATCTGTGCCCTCAGGGAACCCGCAGGCTGGCTCAGGCGGGCATTCTTGCCCCATGTGTGCCCAGGCCCTGGCTGGCAACAAGCCCTCTCGCCAGCAAACGTCCCCAGATCCCAGGGTAGCCCTGGCAAAGCTCCCGCAGCACATGCTGGGGCCTCGCCACCATCTGTCCCCTTCATTTGGCAAAACGAGGATGTGCCTGGGAGGCCGAGTCCCCTAAACCCCCCGTGCGAGGGAGGGGTGACCTGGTGACCACTTCCATGGCCACCGCGGGGAAGGGCCACCTGTGCTGCCCGGGTCTGCCCCCAGCTGGCCCAGAAGGCCCCGCACTGCACAGGCTCCGCGTCCCAGCTGCGTGGTCCCAGTGAGGTCCCTGCTCACGCCCTACACCTAACGGGACAAGACTTCCTCCGGGGGAGGCTGGGTGGGCACGTCTTACACATGGTGGCGCTCTGGGTGGTGGGCAGTGTCACGTCACCGACGCCTTGACCCAAGAGGAACCGCTGTCGGCCTGGACGTGAGCCAGGAGAAAGGATGGCAAGCAGGAGGCACGTGTCGGGAGGCGCCGCATCTGCTGGAGGGCTGGGCAGAGGTCCCTCCCGCCCCCTCTCCAGCCCACAGCCCTCAGCTGCCAGCCCGTAGGGAGTCCGCCCCACAGGCTCCTCTGGCCACAGCCTGGAGCAGGCAGCGCGGGGAGAAGCAGCCGCTCCGTGAAGGCCCACTGTGTGCTCTCCCACACTTGGCCCTTTCTCACCGGGGAGCCTGTTGAATCTCATTGGCCGCACTTCTGGCCCGACACCCATGGGTGCCTACTGTACCCGACGCATCACGTGACCCCCAGGGACTGGTTCCAGCTTGGGAGGGACAGGCCACTGCAGGATCCCAGTCGGGCTCAGGGCAGAGGACACATCTCCCAGCAGCCAGGCCCCATGCTTGTCTGGCCCCAGGTTCTTCTGGTCTGTGGCCTGAGCCCCGGACCCTGAGGGACCTGAGGGATGTGTCTCATTCATCACGGTGTCTCTGGGGGCCTGCCCAGAGCCCCCGCCCGGGGGGTGGGGGGTGGGGGGAGTCCACTGGCACACACCCCAGGGGCTCGGGGACTTCTGGGGCCGGGACTTCCTTCTCCACATGAGGCGTCTGTGTGCAGCATGGCTTCCCCTTCCCCATCCCAGACCCAGTGTGGGAGGCGGTGGCCTGTCGGCCCCTCCACCCCGCTACTTCAGTGTCCAGCAAACCTCCCTGACTCAGCACGCAGAGGCCACAGTGTGTGGGACGGGCTGCTAGACTCCAGCGCCAGCTCCCCACCAGCTACTTCCCTCCGCCAGGCCTCTGTCTTCTCGTCTGTCAACTAGGCATGACAGTCCCTGCCTGGCAAAGCCTGGTGGATAGTCAATGAGCTATGCAGGGAAGTGCTTAGCATGGAGCCGGACACGGTAAGCGCTCAATAGGCGCTTGCCGTGCAGACGGCTGCACCAAAGCCCCCCAGCTCGCTGCGCTGCCTCTTAGGGGCTAAGACACTGAGCGTGGCGGTGTGGGTGACCCTCAGACCTGCAGGCGGACATGCCGACTCCCTGACAGCACTTGGGACAGCCCAGCTTTGGGGGTGACATGGCCACAGGCTGCCCCCAGCCCCATGGGGTGCCTGGCAGCCTGCTGGGGGCCCAGAGCAGGCAGAGTGTGGGTGCCCCCATGGTCCAGAGGCTGCAGTCACCAGTGATCCTCGTCATCAGGTAGGAAACTGGATCCAGCATGCAGCTGGTGGACCAGCGCCCTTTCCCATCTGCACGGGGCTGCGCCGCGGGCCAATGGGAGGTCTTCCCTGAGGTGTCCACACAGCTCTGTCTGACCCTGGGGCCCTGGTGAGGGGGTGGGGAAGGAGCCACAGGCTCCCACTGGCACAGCCCTTCACGTGCCAGGGGATGCCCTGTCTGGCGTAAGGGTGCCTCGCTGCAGGGCACGGCTCTTTGTCTGCAGGCAGGGGAACGCGCCCTGTGGGTGGAGGGAGGAGCTATCTTCCTGGAAACAGGCACACTCCACCCTCTGAGCATCTCCAGTGATTTTGTGCGCTGACAATGTCATCATCCCCATTTTAAAGATGGTCAAACAGAGGCAAGAAAAGGTAAAACCAATTGCCCAAGTTATTATGTGCCCGAGCGAGGATCCAAACTCAGTTTGCCTGACATAACAATCCTGGCTTCTCAGACCTGGCCGGGTGGCTCAGTTGGGTAGAGCCTTGTCCGGATACACCAAGGTTGCAAGGTTGCAGGTTCTACCTCCGGTCAGGGCGCATACAAGAAGCAACAGTGAATGCACAAATAAGTGGAACAACAAATCCACGGTTTTCTCTCTCTCCCTGCCTCTCTCTCTCAAATTAAAAAACCAAAAACATCCTGACCCCTCAAACCCCAAAATGCTCGAGAACAAGTCACTATTATTATTATTATTTATTCAAGTTAAGATGGCTTTTCCGAGCCTCCTACTTCTGCAGGGTGGGCCCTCCTGTGCCCATACTGCAGAGGGGAACACTGAGGCTTGCAGCCCAGTGCAAAACAGGGAGGGAAGTGTGAGGGCCGGTTTGGGGCCCAGGACTCCTGGCGTGGCGCCCTGGGATGGGAGATGAATGGCACGGGGTGAGGGTGGGGCGTGTGTACCAAGATCTCCGGATTCAGAGTGACAGGGGACTGGCTCTGTGGGGAGAGGGAGCCCCCTTCTTCCAGGTGGTGACCCACAGATCACACCCCTACTTCACGAACAGGGCATACTTGGGGCCCCTCCATTGGGGTCCGCACCCAGGGCTGGGAAGTTTCTCCTGCATCACAGCCAACGCATCCCCGCAGCGTTTCCGGATGGAGCTCCCCGCCTGCGCCCCCGTAGCTAAGGGCAGGCTGCAGATGCGCAGGCCTGGGACCCACAGCCCAGAAGACTCCCTCCGAAGGGTCTGCGGGGCGGGCCCGGCGTGACGTCACGCCCCCCGGCCAATGAGGCCGCAGGGCCCCCGGGCTGGA